TGAGGCAAAGGGACTGCGGGCTGGAGTTCCAGAGGGTGGGGGCAGTCTGCCAATGCTGGGGCGGGTGAGGCGGGAGACGCGAAGCAGGCCAGAACCTCCTGAGCAGAGGAATCAAACAGGATGGTGGGTGGTTAGGAGGTGATGGGGTGGGGGAGCCTGGTGGGGGTGAGGATGGGGTTGATGGGGTCGGGGAGCCTGGTGGGGGTGAGGATGGGAGTGATGGAGTAGCGGAGCCTGGTGGGGGTGAGGATGGGGGTGATGGGTTGGGGAGCCTGGTGGGGGTGATGATGGGGGTGGTGGGGTCGGGAAGCCTGGTGGGGGTGAGGATGGGGTGATGGGTGGGGGTGAGGATGGGGTGATGGGGTGGGGGAGCCTGGTGGGGGTGAGGATGGGGGTGATGGGGTGGGGGAGAGGTTAGTTCTGGATGATGTGCAGCCTATGGAGGGAGGAGTTGGGGGGCGACAAGCAGGGAGTTGGTGTGGTGGAGTCTGGATGTAATGAAGGTGTGTGTGAGGGTCTCGGGGGCTGCGGAGGGAGACAGTGGCAGAGTTGGGCCATGTTGCGGAGGTGGGGAAGGCAGAGCGGGTCATGGCACAGATGTGGGGTAGAAAGGACAGTTGAGGGTCAAACAAGACTCCAGGGTTCGGGCCCGGCTCAGTGAGGGGGAGCCCCCGGGGATCCTTGGATGGTGATGCTGTCACCATCCAACCAATCTCCACGACCTCCTAACCCCCTACTGTCCTTGGATGGCATTGTGCCAGGAGAGCAGTGGGTCCTGGAGTCGAGAGTGGAGACAGAGGGAGAGTTGGGTGTCATCCCATACATGTGGGAGTTGACCCCATGTCTGCGGAGGATGTCACCAAGAGGGAGTAAATAAATATTGAAGAGGAGGGGACCGAGGACAGAGAGAGCCCTGAGGAACGCCACACGAGACGGTGCAGGGGCCGGAGGAGAAGCCGTTTGAGGAGATGAAGTGCAGGCGGTGTGAGAGGTACCATCTGAACCAATCAAGGACAGAACGAGTTCAGCCCCAAAGGGACCCTGTTCCGTCCCCCTCTCCCCTCCACCTCGATTGATAGGTTGATGGGTTTGGTTTGCGTGTGCGTGCGCGTGTGTGTGTCTGCTCACCTCGTCGGTCACCCTCCCCCCTCCATTACTTCCTTCAAGACCTGTCTCAAGCCTTTCCTTTTCGACCATGCCTTCGGTCACCCTCTTTCCCCCCCCATGTCCTCCACCCTCCCTAATCCCGACCCACAGCTCGGATCCAAAACAGCGCCTTGGGACGTCCTCCCGAAATGAAAGATGCTTTACACGTGTAATGATGTTGTTGTCATCGTTGAACTGGCCCCACGGTGATGTACCCGGTACCGGAATGTGGGAATGGAGCCCTCCCCTCTGTGCCGGTCTCCAGTCCGGGTCCTGAGCCGGGAGGGGCCGCAGGACTCCAGGGCACTCACTGCTGATGGCAGCACAGCCCGGCCGGGCTCATCAGCAGGACCTGGAAGGGCCGACCAGTCTCCGGGGGCCGGGAATCCTCCCCCTCAGCCCCTGGTGATCTGCAGCCAAAGCCCTAACTAACTAACCAACTAACTAACAAACTAACTAACTATCGGGGAGGGGGGTCCGAGCCGGACAAGCAATGGGAAAGCTGCCACACAGCGCTCTCTCTCAATGGCAAACTGTGTGGGTTTGGCTGGTTGGACCCCAGCAGTTACCCCGACACACACACTGGGCCCCCCGAGGCCGTGGGTCTCACCCAGCTGCGCCTGTGGTTTCTGCATGTGTTGGTGGTTGGGTGGCCCTCGCTGGGCAAGCAGAGGGAGGGAAGCTTGTCGGGTGATGTGTGTCACCCGCCTTCTGTCTGAATCGATCCCACCCTCTGTGCCGGTCTCTCACCTGGTTTCTGAGTCAGTCAAGTCTGCAGTACTCAGTGGGGGGAGGGGGCAGGGGGGCTACAGTACATGGTCACTGGGGGTGAGTGAGCTGGTCACAGGGCAGGGGCTGGTCACAAGCACTCTGGGGGCTGCCCTGCCTGAGGAGCGCTGTATCAATTACTTTAAAGAAAATTGGTCACTTCAACCCATGAGAGTTTGTGGGGACGTCGCTGTGCGCAATCGGCTGCCGCGTTTTGCCCACAAAATACAGGCGCTTTGAGATGTCTCGAAGATGTGATGAGGCACCGGGTCAAATGCCAGGATTACTATTATTATTATTATAAGTGTAAGTTGTTGTTGTGGTTTGTGCGTGTCAGAGCCTGGAGTTCAGAATGCCGGCTGACCAGGGCATCGCTGGACACGTGGCCACCACCGGCAAAATCCTCAACATCAAGGACGCCTACTCCCACCCACTGTTCTACCGCGGAGTGGACGACAGCACCGGCTTCAAGACCCGCAACATCCTCTGCTTCCCCATCAAGGATGAGAACAAGCGTAAGTGGGGGGCGGGGGCACAGCCTTGTGGAGTGGGGTTGGTCACATGGTCACCGGGAAGGGGGAGGGGGGGCTGGTCACATGGTCACGGGGGGGGGGAATGGTCATATGGTCACCAGGGGAGGGGGGGCTGGGCACATGGTCACCAGGGGGGATGGTCATATGGTCACCAGGGGAGGGGGGGCTGGGTACATGGTCTCCAGGGGGGAACGGTCATATGGCCACCAGGGGAGGGGGGGCTGGGCACGTGGTCACCGGTCACCAGTGGGGGCTGGTCAAATGGTCATGGGGGGGCTGGTCACATGGTCACCAGGGAGAAGAGGGACGGGTGGCATGGTCACCAGGGGGAAGGGGGACGGGTGGCATGGTCACCAGGGGGAAGGGGAACGGATGGCATGGTCACCAGGAGGAAGGGGGACGGGTGGCATGGTCACCAGGGGGAAGGGAGACGGGTGGCATGGTCACCAGGGGGAAGGGGGACGGGTGGCATGGTCACCAGGGGGAAGGGGGACGGGTGGCATGGTCACCAGGGGGAAGGGGGACGGGTGGGATGGTCACCAGGGGGAAGGGGGACGGGTGGCATGGTCACCAGGGGGAAGGGGGACGGGTGAGATGGTCACCAGGGGGAAGGGAGAGTTGGTCACATGGTGGGGGTGAAGCTCTCTGAGATGTGAAGGGTAAGTTGTTGGGTGTGTGTGAGGTGTGAGGGTGTTGGGGTTCGGGTGGGCGGGGGCAGGATCCCCAGGGTACAGCCTCCATCCATTTGATCAGTGCCTTGGGATGTGCTTCCGAGGTGAAAGGCACTATGTCGTTATTTGTGGGCACATGGTCACCAGGGAGAGTGGCTGGTCACATGGTCACCATGTGGGCCTCCTCCCGCTCTACACTCCCACTCCCCGGCCCAACCTTCTCCTTTCCCAAGTGTGCCACAGGATCTTTAACATCCCACCTGAACAGGGAGCTGGGTTTAAAGTCCAATCCGCCTCCGACAGCACAGTGCTCTCTCTCTCCCGCTGCTCTGAGGTGGTAGATTGAGAAGCTGAACAAGATGGAGGATCTGAACACACTTGGGAATTGGGCAGATCTGTGGCAGATGAAATTCAATGTGGTGAAATGTAAAGTACTTCACATGGAGACAAAATATCCTGGAAGGGACTATTGTTTGAACAGAATTAAAATAAACATATGGAAAATGAAAAGGACCCGCGGGTCCTGATTGACAATGAATTGAAGCTCTCCTAACAATGCTCTGCGGCAGTGAGTAAAGCAAACCAGATGTTGGGATGTATAGTGGGGCAATCCTGCCACTGTATAAATCATTGGTGAGACCGTACTTAGATCTGGTCACCGCAGTGCAAAAAGGATATGGGAGAAATCGAGAAGATACAGAGAAGGGCAACCAGAATGATTGAGGGAATGGAAAGACTGGACTATGAGGAGCGACTCAGTAAATTAGGCATGTTCACACTGGGAAAGAGAAGATTGAGAGGTCCATGATCGCTGTCTTTAAGATTCAGAAGGGGCAAAACAATACACATCGTGACCGGCTGCTTCAACTTGTCCAGAATAGTAAAACCCGAGGACACGGCCTGCGATTGAAGGGGAGAAAATTCTAATTCAGAACAACGACAAAATCACATTTATAGAGCGCCTTTCACGTTGGTTGGGAGGATATCCCAAAGTGCTGAACAGTCAGGGGTCAGGACCCGAGCTTGGGGGAGGGGTGGGGTAGGGGTGAGGGTTGGGGAGGAGGGAGGGAAGGCAGAGAGGTTGGAGGGCGACTGAAGGCTCAATGAAGAGGAGGGTCTTGCAACCGGCCTTGAAGGAGATGAGGGAGGAAGTGAGGCGAAGGGACCGTGGGATGGAGTTCCAGAGTGTGGGGGCAGAGAGGCTGAAAGCCTCGGCCACCGATGGGAGGGTGGGTTTGAACAAATCTACACACACACTATTTCAGTGAGCGAATAGTGAGCCTGTGGACGGGCTCCTGGGGAGACGGTTGAAGCAGGAAATGTTGATTGTTTCAAACACAGATTAGATAGTTTTCTTCTGGGAAATAACATTATGGGATACAGGACATAGGGAGTTTGGGACATATGTGCACATGACCGGCAGGAAGGTGGAAGGTGAACCAGATGGACCTTGTCTTTTTGTGGTCTAGTATTTCTTATGTTCTTATGGAGCGTCAGCCTGGACCGTGAGCTCAAAGTCCCCAAAGTAGGGTTTGACCAAGAGATGAGAGTATTATTGACGGAGCTGGGCTGATGTTATCTGGGCTTGTCATGTAATCCTGTAGCTCAGTGGTTAGAGCGGTCACTGGTTTGATTCCCGGCTGTACCGAAACCTTGGGCAAGTTTCCTTACTCCGCACACCTCTGTTTACTTAACTAATTTAGTCCTTGCATTTGATATAGCACCTTATTACGTCTTCTAGACCTCAAAGCGCTTCACAGAATATGCTGTAAAGTGAATTGACTGTATATTTGTGGGCGAACGCGGCAGCCAATTGCACACAGCAATGTCCCACAAACAGTCGTGGATTGAAAATGACCAATTTATTATTGTTTTTTTTAGGGTTTTTAGGGAACGTGGTTGTTGGTCGATTGGAGGATCACTTTCTGGGGGTAATAATCCCTTCAAAAAAATAATTATAATGTGATCACTGACTCCACGGCGGTCTGTGGGACCCGCACTGCTGTGTGCAATTGGCTGCCGTGTTTCACCCACAAAGTATACAGTCACTACACTTTACAGTATATCCTGTGAAGCGCTTTGAGACGTCATAACGACGTGATGAGGCGCTGTATCAAATGAAAGGATTATTATTATTTGTTGTGTTCACAGGTATCATCGGAGTGGCCGAACTGTGTAACAAGGTGAACGGTCCCTGGTTCACTAAGTTTGACGAGGATCTGGCACTCGCTTTCTCCATCTACTGTGGTATCAGCATTGCACATGTGAGTCCTGGGGTGAGAGAGAGAGACACTGGGGGTGAGAGAGAGAGAGACACTGGGGGTGAGAGAGAGAGACACTGGGTGAGAGAGAGAGACACTGGGGGAGAGAGAGAGAGGCACTGGGGGTGAGAGAGAGAGACACTGGGGGTGAGAGGGAGGGACACTGGTGATGAGAGAGAGAGAGAGACATTGGGGGTGAGAGAGAGAGAGAGAGAGACTGGGGGTGAGAGAGGGAGAGACACTGGGGGTGAGAGAGGGAGGGACACTGCGGATTAGAGAGGGGTTGGGGTTCAGGGTTTTGGGGGTGGGGATTGGGGTTCAGGGGTGGGGTTGGGGGGTCGGGTTGGTGTTGGATGGCGGGGCTCAGGGGTTGGAGGATAGGGTTTTGGGGTTGGGGGTTGGGGTTCAGGGGTTGGGTTGGGGGGGTCAGGAGTTGGGTTGGGGTTCAGGGGTGGGTGAGGTTCAGGGGTTGGGTTGGGGTTCAGGGGTTGGGTTGGGGTTCAGGGGTTGGGTTGGGGGGGGGTCAGGGGGCAGTGATTGGCAGCTCCATGCTGACCTGGATGTTTCTCCTCAGTCGTTGCTGTACAAGAAAGTCAACGAAGCTCAATATCGCAGTCACCTGGCCAACGAGATGATGATGTACCACATGAAGGTACCTCCTTCCCTCCCTCCCTCTCACTCCCTCCATCCGCACTCCCTCCCTCCCACTCTCCCTCCCTCCCTCCCTCCATCCCTCCCTCCCTCTCTCTCCCTCCCTCCGTCCCTCCCGCACTCCCTCCCTCCCACTCTCACTCCCTCCCTCCCTCGCTCTCTCTCTCCCTCCTTCCCTCCCTCCCTCTCACTCACTCCGTCCATCCGCACTCCCTCCCTCCCTCTCCCTTCTTCCCTTCCTCTCTCCCTCTCACTCACTCCCTCCATCCGCACTCCCTCCCCTCCTCTTCCCCCCACTTTCACACCCTCTCTCCGTCCCTCCCGCTCTCTCCCCCTCCTCCCTCCCTCCCTCCCCCTCTCTCCCCCTCCCTCCTTCCTTCTCTCTCACTCCCTCCCCTTCTTCCTCCCTCTCTCCCCCTCCTTCCCTCCTTCTCTTTCACTCCCTCTCCTTCTTCCAACCTCACCCTCTCTCCCCCTCCCTCCGTCCTTCCCCATCTGTGCTCTGTCCAGGTGGATGTTAAAGATCTCGCGGCGAAAAGAGAGGGAGTTTCTCGCTCTCTCCCAATGTTCTGCCCAACAATCCCCCAAATAAAATCACTCGCTCACTTCACAGTTATTTGTGGGGAAATTGGCTGCCGTGTTTCCCCGCACACAGCACAGTCACTACACTTTACAGTGAATCCTGTGAAGCGTTTTGAGACGTTTTGTTGCCCGGTCAGTTTCCTCGTTCCGCACCCGCACACGCACGCACACGCACACACGCCCCTGTTTACCCAGCAGTTAGTAGGGTAACAATCCCTCCCCCGAAAAAAATATTGGTCACTCAAGCACCGACTGTTTGTCAGACACTGCTGTGCGCAATTGCCTGCCGCGTTTCGCCCATAAAATGGACAGTCACTACACTTTACAGTGTGTTCTGTGAAACGCTTTGGGACGTCCTCCCGACGTGAAAAGCGCTATATCAAATGCAAGGATTATTATTATTATTATTCTGTGAAGTGTTTTGAGATGTCTCAATGAAGTGATAAGGCGCTGTGTCAAATGCCAGGATTATTATTATCTTGGTTATCTTGGAGGCACAGGACAACCCCACTTTTCCACCACTAACCGTCTCCCCCGTCCACCTTCCCACGCCTCGCGCATCCTCTCCTCAAACTCCAACTGTGAGGAGATGCTGGACTTTCTCCAATCTAAAATCGTTCAGCCAACTCAGCCCCGTTCACAGCCACCCCCACATCACCTCTCCCTCATGACCCACCCCCCACCCAGAGTACAGGGGGGGCCCTATACTCCTTCCACCCTATCTCTCTCTCCCCCCTCCCTCACCACGACTGTCCGCAAGCTCAAACCCCTTCTGGCCCTCTCCTGTCCGACATCATCAACCTCTCCTTGTCCACCGGTTCAGTTCCCACCCCCTAAAAACAGCCGTCATCACCACATCCTGAAAAATCCTTCCCTGGCCAACGTCCACATGTATGCGGATGACACACAACTCTCTTTCTGCCTCACCCTCAGCCCCAGGACCACTGCTGTCTGCCTCACCCTCAGCCCCAGGACCACTGCTGTCCTGACAGACTGTCTGTCGGATATCAAGTCCTGGATGAGGGCAAATTTCCTACAGTTGAATGTGAACAAGACTGAGGCCCTCCTGATCGTCTCCCCCCAGCGCCTCCGCACCTCAGGCTCTGGTAACATCAACCTCCATGGTGTACACTACAACTCACCGCCAGTCAGGAACCTCGGTGTCTTGTTCAGCCCTCAACTGTCTTTTCTCCCCCACATCCAAGCCACGACCCACTCTGCCTTCCGTCATCTCTGTAACATCGCCCGACTCCGCCGCTACCTCACCCCTCAGGCGCTGAAACTCTTGTTCAATGCCTTCATCACCTCCAGACTCGACTATGCAAACGCCCTGCGTGTCGGCCTTCCCAACGCCTCCCTCCACAGCTGCAGATAATCCAGAACTAACTCTGCAGTCCGTGTCCTCTCCCGCACCAAACTCCGTGACCCCATCTCCCCCACTCTCGCCCGACTCCATTGGCTCCCTATGCTTCAGAGGATCCAGTTCAAGATCCTGGTCCTCACCTTCAAAGCCCTCCATGGCCTCCCCCCACCCTACCTCTGTGACCTCCTAACCCCCTACCAACCCGCCCGCTCCCTCCGCTCAGCCGACTCCGGCTGCTCCACATCCCCCGACCCACCATTGGCGGGAGAGCCTTCAGCCACTCTGCTCTCTCCCCATAGCCCTAATCAACCCCACTCCCCCACTCTCCCCATAGCCCTGATCAACCCCACTCCCCCGCTCTCTCCCCACAGCCCTGATCAACCCCACTCCCCCGCTCTCTCCCCACAGCCCTGATCAACCCCTCCCCCGCGCTCTCCCCATAGCCCTGATCAACCCCACTCCCCCGCTCTCTCCCCACAGCTCTGCAAACTTGTCCTCCCCAAATAGTTATCCGCTTCTCTCTTAAAAGTTGTTATGGAATCGGCTTCCACCGGCCTTTCAGGCAATGATTCCAGATCCCAACAACTCGCTGAGAAAACATTTCTCCTCCCCTCCCCTCTGTTTTCGTAGCTTAATACCCTTAGCCTTGGACCCACCAGCTTTAATACCAAATAGTCTCCAAGTGCTTCACAGAGAACTGGTCGAAGAGCAAGGTTTTCAGGTGGGACTTTGAAAAGGGGAGAGAGGGTTGAGGCGGGGGATTGGGGGAGAGCGTTCCAGAGTTTTGGGGCCTAGTGACTAAAAGTATGACATCCGATGGTGGGGGGGAGTGTGCGAGGGATGAGCAGGAGCCGGTGCCAGTCGAGCGGAGGCGCTGACCGGCTGGTGGATTGGGGAGTAAGGAGGGAGGGAGTGAGGAGGCCGGGGAGGGAGCGAGGGAGGGAGGGAGGGGCCGGAGAATGAGGGGATTTGAACACGAGAGTGAGCAGATGTTGAAGTCGATCTGTTCGGAGCTGGTGAGATGGCAACGGAGTTTGGTCCGGGTCAGTATGTGGGCGGCAGAGGGAAGAGAGAGAAACTCATGGCTCTTTTGTGCCAGTGCCGCGGGTTATTTATCATCCACATGAACACGGCACAGCCGGGAGCTCTCTAACTGCTCGGGGTTGGACACTCACCTCACAAGTCAGAGCACCCGGGTCTGAGTCCCGGGCGGGTCAGGGCGAAACCTTGGGCAAGTTTCCTTACTCCACACACACACACATACAAAAACACACACACAAAATACACACACACACAAAAACACACACACACACAAAATACACACACACACACAAAATACACACACACACAAACACAAACACACACACAAAATACACACACACACACAAAATACACACACACACACAAACACACACACACACAAACACACACACAAAATACACACACACACACAAAATACACACACACACAAAAACACACATACACACAAAAACACACATACACACACAAAAACACACACGCACAAAAAAACACACAAAAACACATACACACAAAGCACAAAAACACACACACACAAAAACACACATACACACACACACAAAAAAACACACACATACACAAAAACACATACACACAAAAACACACACAAAACACAAAAACACACACACACAAAAACACACATACACAAAAGCACACACACACACACAAAAACACACAAGCACAAAACACACACACACACACACACAGGCCTCTGGTTACCAGCAGTCAGTAGGAGTCCGGTTGTTAGTCGATTGGGGGATCACTTTCCAGGATTAATAATCCCTTCAAAAATAATACTAATTTGGTTACTGAATCCACATCTGCATGTAGGACACTGCTGTGTGCAAATAGGCTGCCGTGTTTCTCCCACAAAATACACAGTCACTGCACTTCACAGTGGAGCCTGTTGAGACGTCTGGAAGATGTGATAAGGCGCTCTATCAATTGCCAGGATTTATCTGAAGGCCGCAGTCTCCGACAATGCAGAGACATTATTAGGATTGTTATTATATTTACAGGTAGCGAACGAGGAGGTGGCCAAGCTGCTGAAGTACGGCATCCAGCCGGTGGAGGATGTTCATCCCGACCTCACCAAGTTCAACTTCGTGCCCCGCGACATTCCCGAGAGCGCCACAGCCATGGTAGGTCCTCCCACTGACCCGACCCCTGTTTTGGTCGTTACCTAGTCTGTGCTTTCTGGACTCTGGCCACTACCCTGCGTGAAGGGTGCTGCATAACGGCAAGTTGTTGACATAACAAGACCTCACACATTCCCATTTTGACCAACCGGGTGTCTGACACACACGGACACACGTCACCGTGACCGGCCGGGTGTCTGACACACACGGAAACCCGTCACCGTGACCGGCCGGGTGTCTGACACACACGGAAACCCGTCACCGTGACCGGCCGGGTGCCTGTCACACACGGAAACCCGTCACCGTGACCGGCCGGGTGTCTGACACACACGGAAACCCGTCACCGTGACCGGCCGGGTGTCTGACACACACGGAAACCCGTCACCGTGACCGGCCGGGTGTCTGTCACACACGGAAACCCGTCACCGTGACCCGCCGGGTGTCTGACACACACGGAAACCCGTCACCGTGACCCGCCGGGTGTCTGACACACACGGAAACCCGTCACCGTGACCGGCCGGGTGTCTGACACACACGGAAACCCGTCACCGTGACCGGCCGGGTGTCTGTCACACACGGAAACCCGTCACCGTGACCGGCCGGGTGTCTGTCACACACGGAAACCCGTCACCGTGACCGGCCGCGTGTCTGTCACACACGGAAACCCGTCACCGTGACCGGCCGGGTGTCTGTCACACACGGAAACCCGTCACCGTGACCGGCCGCGTGTCTGTCACACACGGAAACCCGTCACCGTGACCGGCCGCGTGTCTGACACACACGGAAACCCGTCACAGTGACCGGCCGCGTGTCTGACACACACGGAAACCCGTCACAGTGACCGGCCGGGTGTCTGTCACACACGGAAACCAAATATGCCAATTCTAAATATACCTGCCACCCACACATGAAAATCTCTGTGTATCTGGAATTGAATGCACTCTCTCTCCCCCCCCCCCCCCCCCACCCCCTCTCTCTCTCCCCCCCTCTTTCTCTCTCTCTCTCTCTCCCTGGAGGGACACTTCCTGGTTACCTAATTCCGGAGAGTATTAGGCGCAGGTTGGCGAGAGCCAAGGCCTCGGGGACCCCAGAGTGTGTGTCGGGGTAACCGCTGGGGTCCAACCAGCCAAACCCACACAGTTTGCCATTGAGAGAGAGCGCTGTGTGGCAGCTTTCCCACTGCTTGTCCGGCTCGGACCCCCCTCCCCGTTAGTTAGTTAGGGCTTTGGCTGCAGGTCACCAGGGGCTGAGGGGGAGGATTCCCTGCAGTGAGTGCCCTGGAGTCCTGCGGCCCCTCCCGGCTCAGGACCCGGACTGGAGACCGGCACAGAGGGGAGGGCTCCATTCCCACATTGCGGTACCGGGCACATCACCGTGGGGCCAGTTCAGCCCCGAGGAGACCCCGTTTACCCCCCACTCTCCCCAGCGAAAGACTGTTTACCTCTTCTCCCCATCACTGCCCGGGGAGGAGAGAAGGCTGGGGGGGGAGAAAGGACAAGAGGGAAGGTTGGAAGGTTGCAATGTGCGGGGTGGGGAGGCTGAATGCTCGGCCAATGATGGCAGGACAGAGGGAGTGAGGAACAAGTGGTGAAGCAGAGTTGGAGAAGGGAGAACGGGGCAAGAGAAGAGTGGAAGAGGGATGAGAGCATTGATAACCACTGTCTCTGTCTCTCTCTGTCTCTCTCTGTCTCTCACCCTGCCTCTCTCTATTTCTCTCTGTCTCTCTCTCTCTCTGTCTCTCTCTCTGTCTCTTCTGCCTCTCTGTGTCACGCTCTCTCTCCCTCTCTGTCTCACTCTGTCTCTCTGCCTCTCTCTATCTGTCTCTGACTCTCTCTCTGTCTCTGTATCTCTCTGTCTCCTTCTGTGTATCTCTCTGTCTGTCTCTCTGCCTCTGTCTCTCTGTCTTTCTAGGCTATCATCAGTATGTTTGAAGACATGAGCTTTGTGAACAACAACAAGATCAACATGAAGACATTAGCAAGGTAACATTCTCTCCCAGTTACTGCTGACCTCGGTGTCTCTGCCTATCATCAGCGGTGGCGCTGTCTCTTGCCTCTGAGTCAGAAGGGTGTGGGCTCAAGCCCCCACATTGGGACTCGGAGCTCATATGATTTTAACTGACGCTCCAGTACAGCGCTGGTGGGAGAGCGCACTGCATTGTAGGCTGGAGCTACCGTCCTTCGAATGAGACATTGAACCTCACTCCCCGTCTGTGCCCACGTTTAGAGATCCCGCGGTGCTGTTGGGAAAAGAGAAGGGAGTTTCTTTCTCTCTCTCTCTCTCTCTCTCCTCCCCCCCCTCCCAGGGTCCTGGCCGACAATCCCCCAAATAAAACCAGCTATTCACCTCTTGGTTGTTTGTGGGACGTCTCTGTGGACAAATTGGCTGCCGGGTTCGCTCATAAAAACACAGTCACTACACTTTACAGTGAATACTGTTAAAGTGCAGTGAAACGTCCTGATAATGCGAAAGGCACTGTATCAATTGTTTCGCCCACAAATATACAGTCAATTCTCTTTACACTATATTCTGTGAAGCAGAAAGACAGTGAAGGGTTTTGAGACATCTTGAAAATGGGATACAGACAATATTAAACAGCAGGATTATTATTATTATTGTAAGCGAGTTTCACTGCCGGCTCGTGGCTATAGTTAGACAGTGTATCTTGGTGTTTGGTGCCCACTGCAGTCTCACTGTAGGTATAGCACGGTATAAATTTGGAATATTTAAAAATATTTTCCATTTTTATGGCGGTTTGTCACTGAAATGCCTCAAAGTGCTGACACACACATACGCCCTGTGCCTTGGGGTCATGCCTTAGGATGACCCAAAGGCCTTATCCTTATAGACGAGATGTTAAACTGGCAGAAGCCCCTCCCGCCAATAGTGGGGCGAGTGAGGCGGTGGACTTGAAGCAGGGAGTGAGCAGGATGGTGGGGGGTTAGGAGGTGGCAGAGGTCGGGCGGGTGTGTGAAGGTGAGGACCAGGATCTTAAACTGTATCCTCTGTGTGATGGGAAGCCAGCGGAGCCAGGGCGAGGATGGGGGTGATGGTGTCGGGGAGCCTGGTGGGGGTGAGGATGGGGTGATGGGGTCGGGGAGCCTGGTGTGGGTGAGGATGGGGGTGATGGGGTCGGGGAGCCTGGTGGGGGTGAGGATGGGGGTGATGGGGTCGGGGAGCCTGGTGGGGGTGAGGATGGGGGTGATGGGGTCGGGGAGCCTGGTGGGGGTGAGGATGGGGGTGATGGGGTCAGGGAGCCTGGTGGGGGTGAGGATGGGGGTGATGGGATGGGGGTGAGGATGGGGGTGATGGGGTTGGGGAGCCTGGTGGGGGTGAGGATGGGGGTGATGGAGTTCATAGACCCTGGTGGGGGTGAGGATGGGGGTGATGGAATCGGGTAGCCTGGTGGGGGTGAAGATGGGGTGATGGGGTCGGGGAGCCTGGTGGGGTGAGGATGGGGGTGATGGGGTCTGGGAGCCTGGTGGGGTGAGGATGGGGGTGATGGGGTCGGGGAGCCTGGTGGGGTGAGGATGGGGGTGATGGGGTCGGGGAGCCTGGTGGGGGTGAGGATGGGGGTGATGGGGTCGGGGAGCCTGGTGGGGGTGAGGATGGGGGTGATGGGGTCGGGGAGCCTGGTGGGGTGAGGATGGGGGTGATGGGGTCGGGGAGCCTGGTGGGGGTGAGGATGGGGGTGATGGGGTCGGGGAGCCTGGTGGGGGTGAGGATGGGGGTGATGGGGTCGGGGAGCCTGGTGGGGGTGAGGATGGGGGTGATGGGGTCGGGGAGCCTGGTGGGGGTGAGGATGGGGGTGATGGGGTGGGGAGCCTGGTGGGGGTGAGGATGGGGGTGGGTCGGGGAGCCTGGTGGGGTGAGGATGGGGGTGATGGGGTGGGGAGCCTGGTGGGGGTGAGGATGGGGGTGATGGGGTCGGGGAGCCTGGTGGGGTGAGGATGGGGGTGATGGGGTCGGGGAGCCTGGTGGGGGTGAGGATGGGGGTGATGGGGTCGGGGAGCCTGGTGGGGGTGAGGATGGGGGTGATGGGGTCGGGGAGCCTGGTGGGGGTGAGGATGGGGGTGATGGGGTCGGGGAGCCTGGTGGGGGTGAGGATGGGGGTGATGGGGTCGGGGAGCCTGGTGGGGTGATGGTGTGGGGAGCCTGGTGGGGGTGAGGATGGGGGTGATGGGGTCGGGGAGCCTGGTGGGGTGAGGATGGGGGTGATGGGGTGGGGGAGCCTGGTGGGGGTGAGGATGGGGGTGATGGGGTGGGGGAGCCTGGTGGGGGTGAGGATGGGGGTGATGGGGTCGGGGAGCCTGGTGGGGTGAGGATGGGGGTGATGGGGTCGGGGAGCCTGGTGGGGGTGAGGATGGGGGTGATGGGGTGGGGGTGAGGATGGGGGTGATGGGGTGGGGGAGAGGTTAGTTCTGGATGATGTGCAGCCTATGGAGGGAGGAGTTGGGGGGCGACAAGCAGGGAGTTGGTGTGGTGGAGTCTGGATGCAGGGAGTTGGTGTGGTGGAGTCTGGATGTAATGAAGGTGTGTGTGAGGGTCTCGGGGGCTGCGGTGGGAGACAGTGGCAGAGTCGGGCCATGTTGCGGAGGTGGGGAATAAGAGGACAGGGGTTTAGAGTTTGGGGTAAAGGGGCAACTTGGGGACAAACACCAAGATGTGTTTCTTTATCCAGAGAGTAATTACAAGTGGAACCAGGTTATCAGGAAGGGGGGCTTCAGGACACCGGCAATGATGGGGAACGGGCGCGTCTGGAGGGAAGAGATCAGACGGCCAAAGGAACTTCTTTAGCTGAAGCCACGGCATTGGTTAAGGAGTTGTCACTGGTGGGGAATGAGCTAAAGGGCCACTTTTATCCCACATCCAGAAATATTAAGCCCCGATTTCTGCCGATGAAGTAATGCTTCATGTATTTGTTTCAAACCTTAAGATGATTGAAATAATATGAAAGCAGGAATCTAAGACGTAACAATCATACAGTGTCTTTAATTATCAAATAACCTTCTGTAAAGTGTATAATAATAATAATCCTGGCATTTGGTACAGTCCCTTATGTCGTTGAGACGTCTCAAAGCGCTTCACATGTTGTACTGTAAAGTGAATTGACTGTATATTTTGTGGGTGAAACACAGAGCGGCAGCCAATTGCGCACAGCAGTGAGGGTCCCACGAACAGTCGTGAATTGAGTGAATAGATTATTATTATTTTCTTATTTTTGTATATTTTTGAGGGATTGTTATCCCTAGAAAAGTAATCCGCCAATCTACTAACAACTGGGTTCCTACTTACTTAGGTAAACAGAGGTGTGTGTGGGAAGTAAGGAAACTGACCGGGGATCGAACTCGGGTCCTCTCGCCTGCGAGGCGAGTGTCTGTCTAACCACTGAGCTGCAGGGCCCCAACCTAGAATTCTGTAAAAACTGCATAAACGATGCCACTTGGCGACTGCAGAAGAAATAATAATATAATAATAATCCTGGCATTTGATATAGTGCTTTTCACGTCTTCTCAACTTCTCAAAGCGCTTCACAAAACAGACTGTAAAGTGAATTGTTCGTATATTTGTGGACGAAACACAGCAGCTAATTGCGCACAGCGGCGTCCCACAGACAGCCGTGGACTGAAGTGAGCAATTTTTCTTATTTTGTTTCTTGAGGGATTATTAATCGCCCACAAATTTACAGTCAATTCACTTTACAGTGTGTTCTGTGAAGCGCTTTGGGATGTCCTCCCGACGTGAAAAGCGCTATATCAAATGCAAGTATTATTATTATTATTATCAGGCGTGGGGAGTGAGGAAACTTGCCCAACATTTCGCCCTGGCGGGAATCGAACCCAGATTTCTCTCGCTTGCGAGTGCTCTAACCACTGAGCTACAGGATCCCATGCCATTATCTTTATCTTTATAATTATTGTTATTATTATTATTAAACGGCAATTTGCTGGTGGGGAAGTTTGAAATGATTGCGGGGGAATCACGAAGGGCTGGTGGGGACTTTCCCCAATACTTAATATAATAATCCTCGCATTTGATATCATGCCTTATTACGTCTCAAAGCGCTTCACAGAATAGACTGTAAATGGCAGTGACTGACAGTTTGTGGGCTGTATATTTCTCTGTTAAACAATCACTGTGTGAAGCCATGTTGGGATCTGATCTGAAGATTGTCCTTGTCGCCAGGTTCTGTCTGATGGTGAAGAAGGGATACCGAGATCCTCCCTATCACAACTGGATCCACGCGTTCTGCGTCACCCATTTCTGTTACTTGCTTCACAAAAACGTGGATCTGCGTCTCTACCTGGAGTGAGTATGTCAGGGCTTCGGAGAGGGTGCGGGGAGATTACATGGCAGCCAGGAGGGACCTCAGTTATGTGGAGAGAGTAGACGAGAGAGGCTGTGATTGTTCTCCTTAAATAGGTTAAGGGGAGATTTAATAGAGGTGCACAAAATGATGAGGGTTTTGATCGAGTCGACAGGGAGAAACTGTTCCCACTGGCAGTGACCAGAGGACATAGATTTACGATAATTGGCAGAAAAACCAGACAAGGAGAGTTTTCTTTCACCCAGAGAGATGTTACAGTCTGGGATGCGTAGCCTGAATGGATGCTGGAAGCAGATTCAATCGTGTTTCAAAAGGGAATTGGATATTTACTTAAAAAGAAAAAATGTGCAGAGAGAGTGGGGGAGTTGGGTTGATCAGGGCTATGGGGAGAGCGCGGGGGAGTGGGGTTGATCAGGGCTATGGGGAGAGCGCGGGGGAGTGGGGTTGATCAGGGCTATGGGGAGAGAGTGGGGGAGTGGGGTTGATCAGGGCTATGGGGAGAGCGCGGGGGAGTGGGGTTGATCAGGGCTATGGGGAGAGAGTGGGGGAGTGGGGTTGATCAGGGCTATGGGGAGAGAGTGGGGGAGTGGGGTTGATCAGGGCTATGGGGAGAGAGTGGGGGAGTGGGGTTGATTTGGAAGTTCAACCCCTATTATTACTTGTGTGCTGTAATATTCTCTGATTCTATGAGTGCGCAGCTCGCACCCCTCAGTCCTTCCCTGAGACGCCTTGTCAACCTACCAGTGACTATCCTCCTGGGGGAGAGAGTCAGTGGGGTCTCCCTGGTACTGAACCGGCACTGTGAAGCCATCTTGTGATCTCATGATCTGAAGGTTCTCGTTGGTGTCGGGTTGTGTCTGATGGTAATGAAGGGACAGCGAGATGCTCCCTCTCACAGTGGGTCTCTGTGTTCTGCCTCACCCGGCATGAATGTGGGAGTGGAGCCCCCGCCCCGGTGCCGGTCTCTCCCCGTGTCCTGGTTGATAATATCCCAAATAAAACCGTTCGTTCATTTCATGACTGTTTGTGGGGACTTTGTGCACAAATTGGCTGTCGCATTCACCCACAAAACACAGTCACTACGCTTCACAGTAAATTCCCGTGAAGTGCTTTTGAGAAGGTGATCCTGATGTGCGAGGGCCGTAACTAATGTAATATTATAATTATTATCCCCTCAAACCTCTGCCGCCCCAGATCTGCGCCTCTTCTAAACATCGGCTCTGCCTCTGCCTCTGACTGGGCTGAGTGCTGTTTAATGGGGTGATTGGAGATCGGGAGAGGATCGAAGTGGGGAACGCGATTAAATGGTCCGTTATTGTTTATTCACTTCACGGCTGTTTGTGGGACGTCGCTGTTTGCAAAGTGCTTCACCCACAAAACAGTCCAACACTTTACAGTGAATCCCGTGAAACACATTGAGACGTCTTAACGACGTGAAAGGCGTTGGGGGTCACACAACAACACAGGACATTTACACACACAGCCTTTCACGTCAGGAGGACGTCCCAAGGCGCTGATAGTCAGGGATTTGGACCCGACCGGGGGGGCGGGAGGAGGAGGGTGACCAAAGGCACGTTTGAAGAGGAGGGTCTTGAAGGAGTCGAGTGAGGGGATGAGGCACAGGGACTGTGGGATGGAGATCCAGAGGGTGGGGGCAGAGAGGCTGAAGTCCTGGCTGCCGATGGTGGGCCGGGCCGGGCCGGGCCGGGCGGGGGACATGGAGCAGGCTGGACAGGTTGCTAAAGTCACAGAGGTTGGAGGGGGCAAAGCCATGGGGGGCTCTGAAGGTGAGGACGAGGGTTTTGAACGGTATCCTCTGGGGGTGGGGAGCCGGTGGGGCCGGGCGAGGCTGGGGCTGAGAGGACACGAGCTGCAAACAACAACACATGGCATTTGTGCAGCGGCTTCACACCGGGTTAGAAAGGGCAGCGGTGAGATTGATGGATGGAGCGTGAGGGGAGCGTCACTGGCAGTTTGGGGACGATCATTAATCAGCAGCAATCAACACGTTTCACAACAGGCGAACCGGCCTCCGTCTGCTGTAAAGTCACCCCCTCCCCTCCCCTCCCCTCCCGGGCATCACCAATGCCCACGGCCCAGCACGGCAGCACAGGTCAGGCTGGACAGTCAGTGTGAAAGGCCCTCTCTCTCCCTCTCTCCGGACATCAGTTTGTTGTTGGTGTTTGAGATACACATTTACACAATAATCCGTCCCCTCCGTGTCCTCCTGGGAGGGGTTTTGGGGGGTAAATGGGGTCTCCTCGGGGCTGAACTGGCCCCACGGTGATGTGCCCGGTACCGCAATGTGGGAATGGAGCCCTCCCCTCTGTGCCGGTCTCCAGTCCGGGTCCTGAGCCGGGAGGGGCCGCAGGACTCCAGGGCACTCACTGCTGATGGCAGCACAGCCCGGCCGGGCTCATCAGCAGGACCTGGAAGGGCCGACCAGTCCCTGGGGGCCGGGAATCCTCCCCCTCAGCCCCTGGTGACCTGCAGCCAAAACCCTAACTAACTAACTAACTAACTAACTAACCAACTAACTAACGGGGAGGGGGGTCCGATCCGGACAAGCAGCGGGAAAGCTGCCACACAGCGCTCTCTCTCAATGACAAACTGTGTGGGTTTGGCTGGTTGGACCCCAGCGGTTACCCCGACACACACACTCTGGGCTTCCCCCAACCTGCGCTGGTGGTTTTCGTGCGTGTCAGACACCCGGCTGATCTCTCTCTCTCTCTTTGTCTCTCTCTCTCCCCCCCTCTTTCTTTCCATGTTTCTCTCCGTCTCTCACTCTCATTCTCTCTGCAGAGACATTGAGATCATGTCGGTGTTTGTTGCATGTATGTGCCACGATCTGGACCATCGAGGAACCAACAACTCTTTCCAGGTGGCCTCGGTAAGGTTCACCCCACTACATCCCCTGACCAACACCCGCCAGCCCCCTGGCCCCCCTTCCCAAACCCCCTTTCCCTCTCCACGGACGTAATGAGTCAGTGTTTGACTGGGGGCGTTTCCAATAAACCACAGGACTACAGGTGCAGTCCAAGCTCAGTGGATAGAGCACTCGCCCCTCGCGAGAGGACCTGGGTTTGATTCCTGGGCAGGGCAAAATGTTTGGCAGGTTTCCTTACTCCACACACAGGTCTCTGTGTACCAGTAGTGTAGGAACCCAGTTGTTAGTCGATTGGCGGATCACTTTTCTGGGGTAATAATTCCTTAACATAACATAACATGTAGGAGCAGGAGGAGGCCATTCGGCCCTTCGAGCCTGCCCCGCCATTCAATCATGGCTGATCGTCTAATCTAAATAAAAAAATAAATAAATTGGTCACTCCATCCACGACTGTTTCACCCACAAACAATACAGTCAATTCACTTTACATTATATTCTGTGAAGCGCTTTGCTGCAAGGACTAGTCTAGGATTATTATAACCAAAATAACTGTTTCCTCCCAACAGAAATCAGTTCTGGCCGCGCTGTACAGCTCAGAGGGATCAGTGATGGAGGTAAGTTACTGAGTCTCTCAGTTATTTCTTATTCTTTATTTATCTTTTTATTTGGTCGGCCGGGTGTCTGACACACACGGAAACCCGTCACCGTGACCGGCCGGGTGTCTGACACACACGGAAACCCGTCACCGTGACCGGCCGGGTGTCTGCACACACGGAAACCCGTCACCCTGACCGGCCGGGTGTCTGTCACACACGGAAACCCGTCACCGTGACCGGCCGGGTGTCTGTCACACACGGAAACCCGTCACCGTGACCGGCCGGGTGTCTGCACACACGGAAACCCGTCACCCTGACCGGCCGGGTGTCTGTCACACACGGAAACCCGTCACCGTGACCGGCCGGGTGTCTGTCACACACGGAAACCTTCTCCCCACGATGACTCTCACCAGTGGCTAACCAGGCCTCGCTGACCGTCCCACCGCCTCCCTCTGCTCCAGCCGCGAACCCTCCGTCAGGCCCACCCCGGGAGTCGCTGCTGGGTGTCCAACAGCAGCCACTCAGACTGTCCTATCCCCTACTCTCGCCGCAAGGCTCACCCACCGGTCTCCTCCCACGCCTCCCTCCCAACTTTCCGCCACCAACCGTCCCCTCCGCATTGGTCTACAAAACGTCTGTTCCCTCCCCAACAAAACACTCACCATCCAAGATCTCATCGTCGATGACATCGACATCCTCGTGCTCACTGAAACCTGGATCACTCCAGGCAACACCTTCCCCGCCTAAACCTCCCATCACACCCCTCGACCTAACCACCGTGGTGGCTCTCACCTCCCGGCCCCCGCTCGGCCCTTAACTCCTCAATCCCTCTCCCCACTTCTACCCAACCCACCTCCATCTCATACCACCCCTGGAAAAAAATCTCCCACCCCCTCCCTCTCGGCTGCCTTAGAGTCTCCCACCCCCTCCCTCTCGGCTGCCTTAAACTCCTTCCCCTCTGGGCTTCCTCCCGCAATGACCTATCCTCCTCGGTCACTCTTCTCCACAGCTCCCTCTCCTCCACTCTCGATTCCCTTGGTCCCTCACTTGCCGTCTCTTCTCGAACCGTCTCCTATTCATGCAGATCACCCTGGTACACCAGCCACCTCTGCTCCCTTAAAGCCCAGGTGTGTTCCGCTGAGCGCTCCCGGCTTAAATCAAACCTAACTGTCCATCGGCAGATCTGGCTGGACCATGTCAAATCCTATTTGGGTGGCAAAATGCGGCTGCCAATTACACAGTGTCCCAAATACAGCCCCTGCGCCAATCCCCCCACCCCCCAGCACCGCACCAATGTCTGAGGCTGATGCTCCAGTGCAGCGCTGAGGGGTATAGAGAGAGAGAGAGAGATTGCCACACTGTCGGAGATGCCGTCCTTCAGATAAACTGAGCTCCCGTCTGCGCCCTCCTTGGCAGACGTTAAAGATTTCATTTGCGTAACACCGACCTCCCCTCCCCCCCTTCCCAAAAATACGTCACAGACAGACAGTCAACAAAAGTGGCCTCACTGTCACACAGAGAAACGTCTTCAGATCGCTGGCTGTCAGCTTATGTTTGCTTTCAATGTCTCCACAGACGGCACCAGCTGCTATAATTACACAAACATCCACTCAAGCTCTACTCTAACCCCATTCCCTGCTCTCTCTCGCTCTCTCTCTCTCGCTCTCTCCCCATGGTGTCTGTGCTGGGGCTCACTCCCCCACTGAAGATCTCTACTCTAACCCCATTCCCTGCTCTCTCTCTCTCTCTCTCTCCCCATGGTGTCTGTGCTGGGGCTCACTCCCCACTGGAGCTCTCTACCCTAACCCCATTCCCTGCTCTCTCTCTCTCTCTCTCCCCCCCATGGTGTCTGTGCTGGGGCTCGCTCCCCCACTGGAGCTCTCTACCCTAACCCCATTCCCTGCTCTCTCTCTCTCCCCATCGTGTCTGTGCTGGGGCTCGCTCCCCCACTGGAGCTCTCTGCCTGCTCTCTCTCTTTCTCACTCCTCTCTCTGTCCCCCTCGCTCTCTCTCTCTCTCTCTCTCTCACTGACACAGAGCCAAAGGGGCTCATGCCCACAGCCTCCTAACTCAGAGGTGAGACCGGGAGTGGCTGAGCCTGGCTGAGGTGTGAGGATGCTCTCAACCCCCTCCTCATTATAACAATCACATGAAGCCCACTGTCTATCACACACATATTATTATATTACGCTGTGGGGGGGGTGGTACGGGAGTGGAAACCCTTTCAGGAGTCGAGCGCTCTAGAACGCTGCCCTGAGTGAAGGGCGTAAAATACATCTAAATTGCTGTTGTTGTCACCAGGAGTGTGTGTGTGTGTGTGTGTCAGTGTGTTTGTCAGTGTCTGTGTGTCACTGTCAGCGTGTGTGTCTGTGTGTGTGTCAGTGTCACTGTGTCAGTGTGTGTCAGTGTGTGTGTCAGTGTATCTGTGTGTGTGTGTCAGTGTGTCTGTGTGTGTGTGTGTCAGTGTGTGACTAGGACATTGGCTGCTGTTTTTGCCTATAAACAGTTACTACACGTGTGAAGTGCTTGGAGACGCGTTGCCATGACAATATCCCGATGAATCACAGCCGAGTGGGGAAGCGAGACCCAAATATTTGGATAAAAAGAGGTTCTGTGATTCTGCACTGACTGTGCGAGTCTCACTCCCTCCTTAACCCCCACTCAGCCAGTGTGTGGAACATAGGAACAGGAGGAGGCCATTCAGCCCCTCCAGCCAAACTGTACAGAATGGGAGTAGCTCAGTGGTTACAGCACTCGCCTCGCAAACAAGAGACCCGGTTTCAATTCCAGGGCAGGGCAAAACCTTGGGCAAGTTTCCTTACTCCACACGCAGTGAGCAGGAACTCGGTTGTTGGTCGATCGGTAATAATCCCTTCAAAATAAAATGTGTCCCTCAGTCCACACCTGTTTGTGGGACACTGCTGTCTGTGCTCAATTGGCGTTTCGCCCATAAAGTACACTTTACAGTATTCCCGTAAGCGCTTTGAAACGTCTCGACAGACGATAAGCTGCTATATCAAATGCAATTATAGGTTAGTCTGACATCATTAGTCCTACTCTTCAGAAATCCATGCTGACGCTCTTTAAATATCTCATCCTGTCCTGGTGCCCTGTCACTCTGTCCGATTCCAGTAACTTCCCCACAAATGATGTCAAACTGACAGGTCTGTAGTTACCTGGTTTCTCTCTCTGCCTTCTTAAATAATGGAGTGACATTTGAAATTTTCCAATTCATTGGCACATTTCCTGAACACATAAGAACATAAGAATTAGGAGCAGGAGTCGGCCATTCAGCCCCTCGAGCCTGTGCCGCCATTCGATAAGATCATGGCTGATCTTCTGACCTATCTCTAATTACCCGCTCTCTCCCCATATCCCCCAATCCCTCTATTTTTAAAAAATCTATCAGTCTCCGCCTTGAAGATGTTCGAGGACTGACATCTACAGCCTTCTGGGGGAGTGAATTCCATAAAGTCACTGCCCTCTGAGTGAAGAAATGTTTCCTCAACTCTGTTCTAAAAGGCTGACCCTTAATTTTCAGACTGTGACCTCTGGTTATAGACTCTCCTCCCGGGGAAACAGACCCTCAGTGACTACTTTATCAGCTCTTTAATAATCTTATATGTTTCAATAAGTTCTCCCCTAATTCTTCTGTACTCTGGAGATTACAGCCCCAGTTTATTCAGCCTCTCCTCATAGGTCAGTCCCCTCATTCCAGGCACTAACCGAGTGAATCTACGCTGCACCCCCTCCAGGGCAAGTATGTCCTTCATTAAATAAGGACCAAAACTGCACACAATCCTCTTGGTGCGGTCTCACCAAAGCCCTATACAGTTGCAGCGAGACTTCCCTACTCTTGAACTCTAAACCTTTTGCAATGAACACTAACTGCCGTTCGCCTTCTTAGTCGCTGCTGCACCTACAAACTAACTTTTTGGGACTGGTGTACGAGGACATCCAAATCCCTCTGAACACTAACACTGTCTAATCTCTCCCCTCTAGAAAATAATCTGTTTTTCTATTTTTTCTACCGAGGTGAATAACGTCACACTTCCCCCACATTAAACTCCATCTGCCACCTACTCATCTCTAATTTCCCAGTTTATTTTGGATAAATCCTCTCTCATACCAGAAAAATTGTCTCTACTTAAATTTAAGACCTTTGCTTTGGACTTAACTATTTCTCTCTCTAACTTAATGCTAAATTCCATCGTATTATGATCACTTTGCCCTCGAGGAGCCCTAATTTCCAGTTTGCTGATCAGCTCTGCTTCATTGCACAAAACAAGGGCTAATATGACCTGTTCCTGGTCGGCTCCTCGGCCACTGATCTCCATAATTATCCCTAATACGTTCTGTTAACTCTTCCTTTATCATACTTTTCCCAATTTGGTTGTCCCAATCTATGTGCAGATTAAAATCACCCACAATTAATGTTGTTCCTTTACTACAGCTCTGCTAATTTCCTGATTTATACCTTGAGAGATACTGTGACTGCTGTTCGGGGGTCTATAAACTACTCCCACTGAGTTTTCTGCCCCTTGTTGTTACGTACCTCTACCCATACTGACTCTACTTCCTGCTTTTCTGATTTAAAATCTTTCCTCTCTACTGTTTTTATCCCATCCTTTATTAGCAGGGCCACCCCCCTCCTCGTTTACCACATTGCCTATCTTTCCTATACACCACATACCCTGGAATATTTAGCTCCCACCCTTGATCTCCCTGTAACCATGTCTCGGTGATGGCTACCAGATCATACCCGTTTGTTTCTATTTGTGCATTTATCTCTCTTGTTTCGAATGCTTCGCGCATTCAGATATAGCGCCTTTAATTCTGACTTCGGGCTATTAGTCCTATTCACCAGTACCCTATCCCTGGGCTTCCTTTCCCCTTGACACCTTTGCTCATCTCCCTGGTTAATCTGCTCTCCCACTTTCATCGGTCCTAATTTTAATTGATGGATTACATGTGATTGAATTTACCCCCCCCACCCCGCTTAGTAGTTTAAAGCCCTGTCTACCTCCCTATTTATTCGTGTTGCCAGGACATTTGTCCCAGCCCTGTTTAGGTGGAGTCCATTCCTTTGGAATAGCTCCTGTCTCCCCCAATACTGGTGCCAGTGGCCTATAAAGTGAAACCCCTGCGCTCCGCACCATTCTTTTAGCCAGGCATTCAGTTCTTTAATTTTTTTTGCCCCCGGCTCAGGTAATAATCCCGATATCAATACCTTCGAAGTTCTACTCTTTAGCTTAACTCCCAATTCCCGGAACTTGCTCCTCAACTCGTCCCTACCTACATCATTGGTCCCTATGTGAATCATAACTATTGGATCCACTCCCTCCTGCTTCAAATTTTTCTCCAGCCCAGAAGTGACGTCCTTCACCCTGGCCCCAGGAAGGCAACAGAGTCGTCTTGTCTCCTTGCAGAAAAGTGTGTCAGTCTTCCTGACTGTCTCATCCCCAATTACCACTATATTCTTTCTGACTATTCCCAGTGTGGCCTCCTGTATAGAGGTGTTGGGGTAAGTTTGCCCATCTTCCTCACAGACTTCCTTGTCCACACAGGTTGCAAGTATTTCATACCTGTTGGACAAGGTTAAAGCCTGGGTTCCTCTGCCCTCTCTTTCGGGTCCTCTTACGCGCCTGTCTGACCGTCACCCAGTCCTGTCCGTGGCTGGCAACGGAATGTTCCCTGGGACTCGGGGGAGTGTCTGGCTCCAGGATGAAACTGTCCAGGAAGCTCTCCCCATCTCTAATGCTGCGCAGTGTCTCCACCTGAGACTCCAGCTCAGCTATTCTAAGCTGGAGCTTCCTCA